TTGCACAAGAGGTATTGCTGAGTAGGCGTTTGAGCTTGGGCCTACCTTGCCTTGAGTAATATCAACGTTCTTCAGTGCCATCGCAGGCGAGAATCGCCTGTAGCTGGCGAAGACACAGGATGGCGTAGGATATGGTGGGCAGGGTTGGGAAGGAGACAGGCTCCTTCAAGCAGCCTATGACTCTGGAGGCAAGGGCAGCTTATAAGACTAAAGGCATTGGCTGCGTCTCCGAGCCCAGTTCGAGGGATTAGTAAGGTGGACTTTGTAGAGTCCAGGAGGAGATATATAGCCTCAAGCGGTGGGACAGCACTGGTTATGCGACTTCCAGCACACTCGAGTAGTACATGAGTGCGCCCGATCCCAGGACAAGCAGCGCGGGAACCGGGGTTGTGCTGCGAAAGGCGGGGCGCGGTGGCAGTGCAGAAAAGAGGATTACATAACGGGTGTAGAAATCGTACGACTGAACTTGAAAGTGACATGGGCCGATCCTCCTGCGCTCGTCCCATCTCCTATTCGTCTTTTTTTATTCGCTTTTAGGCGCGCATTAAATACTAGTGTTCTAGTAGCCACCTCGTGAAGATTTTCCTGCGAAAGCAGTTGCAGCTGGGATGGATACGACGCTGTTCAGCCTGCCCGACATGGACTCGCCCGACAGCCAGCCCTCGTCCTCCTCGCCCTCGTCGTCGCCCGACGACAGCCCCTTCACGTACCTCCTCAGCAACCCCAGCCTCTCCGACGCCTCCTCCCTCTCCTCTTCTGCCTCCCAGCGCAGCCAGAGCCCCGACACCACATGGGCCAGCGACGCCTTCCCCACCGACTGGAAGTGGTCCGACATGGACCTCGACATTGCCTCCCTTGCCTCGGGTATTGGCATCTTTGGCAGCCCCGACTCGCATGCTCCCATGTCCATCGACCCGCATGCCATGCACATCCACGATTTCGATCCCTTCAGCGCACTAGGTGGAATGGGCAATATGGAATTCGGTCTCCCGCAGCAGCAGCAATCCCCTTCCCCACAGGACATCCTCTCCCACGCGTCCTTTGCCGACCTCTCTTCCTTCACATACACCGCGCCCTCCGTTGCTGCGTCTCAGGCAATCGATATCACACAGACGCTCTCCCTCCCCGCCGCGCCCCCGCCTTCAATAACCGTAGCAGCAGCTGTAGCCTCCGCCGTCGCAGCAGCCCAGTCCGACGCGATGGACGCGACCCTCTCTTCTTCATCAGCGTCAGAAGCAGAAGAGATTGCAGCACGCGTGCGCGAGCTCGTCGGCATCGTTGAAGCTGTCACCCAGAACTCCAGCCCTACCGCACCCGCAGCTGCAGCCGCGGCACCAGTACAAGCTCCAACTCCGCCTCCCGTTTCCGCGCCAAAAGTTGCCATCCCTCGCTTGCCTCGCCCTGCAGTGGCCGTCCGACTTCCCAATCTTGCTAATACTGGTGCTAGTACGGGAAGCTCCAAGTCGTCTTCCCCCAACACAACTCGACTCTCCACGCCCGTCGATTCCCCCGCATGCACTTCCCCCTCCACCCTCGCACCCGCACCCACGGGAGCCGCGGCGCCGACCACCACCACGACGGCCCGCCCAAAATCATCCCACACGACCATCGAGCGCCGCTACCGGACCAACCTCAACGCCCGCATCACCGCCCTCAAACACGCCGTCCCTGCCCTCCGCGTCCTCGAAAGCGCCAAGTTCCCCGACTGCGTTCCCGACGAGCGTGGTTATGTCGACGGCGTCAAGGCCGCACGCAAAGCCAGCAAGGCTAGTGTTCTCGGCAAGGCTGTCGAGTATATCCGGTGCGTTCTTCTTTCCTTTCCTTTCCCCACTTCTACCTCTCGCGCTCCTATTCATTTTAGCGTCAAATTTATTTACTGGTCCGTTTCTGTCTTGTTCGTAAATGCTAAATATGTATTATTCATTTTGGGTATACAGCGTACTCAAGAAACGAGAGATCCGTCTCCGACGCGATACGTCCGGACTGCGCGCGCTCATCCAGGGGCTGGTGGGCGGACCTGCGCTGCTCGCACGGTGGGAGGCCGAGTGGACGGCGCGTTTTGGCGGGGAGGAGGCGGATGAGGTGCAGGGGAGCGATGGCGAGGGCGATGACGGTGAGGGAGAGGGCGACGAGGAGGGGAGCGAGGATGACGATGAGAGTGGTGGGGGGCCGAGGAAGAAGGGAAGAGTGGGCGGGAAGGAGAAGGAGATTAAACCGAAGAAGGCCGCTGCTGGTGCTGGTGCTGGCGTTGGTGAGGTGCCGCAGAGCGCAGGGGTTGTGGGTCCGAACGGAGAGGTGATTGGGAAGAGGAAGAGAGGGCGACCAAGAAAAGTCCAGCCTGCACCTGTGCCTGTTGTCATCCCTGCTGCCGGCGTCAGCGTCAACGCGGCGATCGTATCCAGTGCGCAGGGACACCAGCAGAGCGGGGGGACGGGGACATACCTCCTCGGCGTCTTCCTCTTCTTCTCTTTCTTCAAGTCGGACGGGAGCTCTTCCTCGTCGTCGTCATCGTCGGATGCTTACGCGGGAGCGGCGACGCACGTTGGGACCGTCCTCAGCGCATCGCCCGTCTTGAATTCCTCATTTGGTGCTCCCGGTGCGGCGGTGGTGGAAGCGGGGTGGACATGGACGTGGGTAGATGCGATGCACACTCTGCACACCATCATTTCCGTTTTGCTCCTCCTCTCGCTTGTTTTGCCCTTCCTCCCTCAACTCCGCCGACGCCAACAAACCAGCTGCAAAGACGAGGACGAGGTGCACGCGCTTGAGGAGAAGGTACAGAGAACACGTGATATCAAACGTGCGCTCGAATCAGGCTCGAGAGCAGCCATCTTGCGCGCACTGGGTATGAGTGCTGGAGAGGCAGAGCGCGTAGGCGTGTGGGATGTGCTCTGCGAGGGTGGAGCGTGGGCTCGGAGCTGGGTTTCGTGGAGCCGGGATAGTGACACCGATAGTGCGCACGATGGGGAGGGAGAAGGAGAGGAAGACGTGGAGAAGGATGCATGGGTGAAGCTCGCCCAGCTGGATCTCTCCAAAGGTACATTCATTCTCCATCTCTCGTTTTTCGTCTTCGTATATCTATTCCATGTGCCAACTATCTTATCTTAATCTCATCTTATTTTATCTCCTACAGGCCGTTCCCTGTCCTTCTCGAGACGCCTACACACCGCCCTTGCGCTCTCGAACCGCCTCTCTGCCTCTCCGTCCCGTACGAGTGCCGCGGATCTGGGCACGCTCGCGCTGTTGGTCTACCCGATATCGGCGGTCGTTGCGGGCAGCGTGTGGACTCGCGCGCGCAGAGTCGCAGATGGTGATGTTGCTCCGGCGACGTTGGCGGAGGGCGATGCACTGGCTTTGGATATTGCCGAGGCAGAGTCGATTTTGTGTCAGTGCGGAATGGGAGTTGGAGTCGACGGTGATGGTGCGAGTGCGCCGAATCTGAACCTGAACCCACTCGAGGCGATCGCGAGAGCACAGGTGGTGGATGTCGTCAAACGCGTCGCGGCGCGGATGTTTGTTGACCTGGTTTCGGATCAGGAGAGAGGCAGGCAGGACGATGGTGATAGTGGTGCAGGAGGGGAGAGCGAGAGTGACAGTGACGATATTGCCATCCCTGTGCCGGCATCGGCGTCGGTGGGAGAAGAGGGGGCGGGGTCAGAGCGCGCTCGCGCGTCGGCTTCAGAGAGTCTCGAGGATGAGAAATTGACGCTGCAGATCGGGAAGACGATGGACGGGTACGTGGGCAAGATGATACGCGTCCTGGAGCGCCTCGGGACGTGTACGGACCTCAGCGAAGTCGACGAAGAATTAGACCTCGACCTCGATGAGGACTTGGATGCCACCGCCAATGTTCAGTCCCACCCCAGCGCCCGAGTCGGAGGCGGAAATACAGAACGGGTAGATTCGAGCAAGGGATCTCTCCTCGACGACGCGACGAGCCTCCTCCGCGCGCTCGTCCTCTTCCGGCGCGTATTCCCCTCGCACCATGCGCAGCGGCTATCGCAATCACACCCCGCGTCGCCCATGTCGTCCTCGGGCACCCTCACACCCACGCCATCGACACCGACTGCTACTTTACCCTCTTTCCTCATTTCCGGTCCTGGTTCTGTTTCTGGTTCTGGCATTACCCACAGACACGGGCACGGGGCCGCAAGTGGGGATAGGAGGGTCGGCGGCGGAGCCCGGAAAGACTCCCCATTGCTCGTCCTCAGTCGCGTCCTCGCCGCACCCGTGTTCGACCAGGAATCTGAGATCGAGGACGCGCGGGATCGGGTCGTGGACATGTTGGCCGACGCCAGGCGGAGACGGTCGTAGCTTTTTTTCCCTCTCTCTTTCTCTTCTCCCTCCTTCCTCCCTTTCTTTTTTTCCCTTTCCCTTTGGCTTTCTCTTTCTCTTCTCTCCCTTTCTTTCTTGCATTCTTGCATCCTCGCTTTTTTCCTTGACTTATGTCTCGTCTCCTCGGACTTTTGTCGTCTTTCTTCGCGTTCTCGTTTGCTTATCTTAGCCCGCCCCTATTCTCTCGACCCGTTTTAGTTACCCTTGACTTTTGCTGCATGATCCGCCACACGGTCGATCGATCAGCCTGTTTCTCGATCGACGATCACCTGCTACTTATATTCACATCTATCTGTTTTCTCATAAGTTAAATAATACGCAGTACTAGCCTAGCCTTTGTTGAGAGGATGGAATAAAAAGAAACTAGAGTCCATCGTTCCATACTTATTTGATGCTTTCAGGAACTGAAAAGCTGGGAAGTTATAGCGAGTCGGGGGAGGAACCCGGCATCCTTCTAGCGAAGCCGCTCCTACGAAGCTGCGTCCGGCGCAATAAAAAGGCTAGCGAAAGACTACCGGCGAATTACGGGTGGAATAGTACTAGTAAGAGCCCGGCGACGACCTATGCACGAGTGAGCCCCATCCGAGATCACGAGCCTTCCACACTGGCTTGCAAAAAACTGCGTTCCCGCGCCACTTCAAAAAGCACAAGAAAGGCAAAAGAACTGGACGAGCAGGGGATCGAACCCTGGTCCTTCCGCAGGCACGAATGCAAAGCGGACGCGCTACCACTGCGCTACACGCCCTGTGAATGCGATTTCTGAACCGGCAATAGTAAAGAAAATATGCACCAAATGCGTTGGTTGTTGATACCCGTGTTACATAATCAAACACCCTCATTCACCGCCAGGCTGAGCTAGCCCTCCTCTGTCTTCCTGAACATTGAAATAGCCGAGATTCCTCCCAAGGTGATGGATCTACGAAAAGATGAGCTATATTATTATATATGTAGCTTGCGTCTCCGCCCAGGTAAGGGTAATCGACAGGTCCCCACTTTCTTCCATCACAACTCCGATGTCAATCCTTCCGCTGAAGTCCACCAATACGAACCCCGCATTACAAGAATTTCCAAAAGTAAGCATCTCCCCAGAAGTGCGGATGATGCGTTGCTTGACATCACGAAGAAACCATCCAATGAGGGGTTTTACATTATGCCCATACAGGCAGCTCCGATTTTGCCATTTCCTTTATTTATACAGGCCAATGGCAGGCGGGTGATTAGCGATTAGGCGATGAGAACGGATAATAAAAAGGAGGCTCCCCACCGCGCTCTCCAGCATCCCCATCTCGACGCCCCTCTTCTCCAAGCTCGCGTCCTCAACACTCTCGCCCTCATCCCAAGCGTCATGCCTGCTGTAAGTGCCCCCCCCCTTGCGATCTGTCATGGGACCTCTCTGGCGCCCGTATTAATCATTATTCAACTACACCTCCCCTGGACCTTTTGGACTCAATAGCCTGCCGACGTCCAATGTGCCAGTGCGAGCAATCCCTCAACGTGCAGGTAAGTCTCATCGGCTACATGCAGCATCTCATCCATTCTCACTTTCCCATTCAAAACATTTCATCCAGCTGGCCTAACTGCGCTTGCGGGGAAAAGCCTAGCTCCTGATCAAGCTCTATAAAAGCGCTGGCTCCCAAGGTAGGACCTCCCACCCCATCGTATCGCATGATGCCCACTCACGGTTCGCTTTCGGATAGTGTCCCCTTGCTATCCTCTCGCGTCTGTATGAATGTAAAAGCCCCCAGTATGAAATTGATTGATGTGGTTTTGTCGCCAAGTACCAGTGATGATCGTGTTTCGTGGCATGCTCTGATGGATCGAGAGATTTGTGCAAGGCACACCGAACCCCGCGTTCTCCCGGACGTGGTCTGCTTAGACTTGAGCTTGGGCCTCATGAGCAACTCCAGCTCCAACTCCACGATACGTTTGTATAGTTTTGTGCAGCACAACTATCGATATCGATCTAGCAAGGAGTGTATCGTACAAAGTGCTCGTGGAGCCCGAATTGATGTAAGCAAGATGAAGCGAGTAAGAGAGTAGAGAAAGTAGAGAGGGAATGAAGTCACAAGACGAGATGAGAGACAGAACGGGAAGAGAGTAGAGAGGGTGGAGGGGAGGAAAAATATGAACGAAAGGCGCGGACCACATGGTTCACAGTTCAGTTACTACTAACTAGGGTAAAGGAGAGACACAGAAGTCGAGATAGGGAATGGACGAATACGTAGAGAGGAAGGAAAAAAAAAGAGACGAAAAAAGAGCGAGACCTGTTAACACCCGAGAGGAAAGACTAGAGAGAGGGGTAAAGATCGTGGGGAGATGATGCGGCAGATCCAGTGTTATTTGGGTGATACAGCGCGTGCCGAGGGGTTGTATACCGGAATCGTAGTATGTCTCTGGGGGTGATGCGGTAGCGCGATGGGCGGCGGGGGCTTTGGCCGTCCTCGAGCAAGTTTTGATGGCGGGCGGGCGGTTAGGACTGGGGAGGGGAGGGGCCGGGGGCAATATGCAATGAGAGATGCGAATGGGCGAACCGAAGAAAATATGCAATGCGGGGTGAATTACGAAACGATGGCGTCGAGGGGAAAATGATAAACAGTGAAAGAGACGAGGAAGTCGTGAGGTCATGAAGATGATAAGGATAACGGTCTGGCGATTCGAGTTGCCCCGGGGGAGAGTTGTGTGCGATAGAGGTGTGTTCAAACCACATAGAGTGTGACTTGTGATTTGACACCAGTATCGAAAGCCATCTGAACGTCTTCATTCGACCCTAGACTTATCAAGTCTCCGTCTTCGTCTCTGTATTTCACCCGCAGCGGCGCATCGTCCTTTCGTCCCCCGCAAAGCCGAATCTTGCGCCCCAGCTTGTCCACCAACTCGGCGTAGTCCGTTGTCCGCGGTACGACGATGACGAACAAGTCCTCGCCATAATGAACCCGAACCTTGATAGGCGGGCTGAACGTGATCGCGCCGGGTAAAACGCCGGTGATGCCCTTCTCACCAGTGAAGACTTGCGACTGCATCGGCCGGATGGTGGTGTTTGCCAAACTCGAGTCGTTCGAGCCGTACGGCGTGACGGGACTTGTCGACTGTGCACCAGAGTCGTCTGAACTCTGATACGACTGACTCGACCCACTCCCACGTTTCCGCTCAACCGACGTTAGCGAGCTCATCGATCCGGAGGCCGACATCCAGCCACTGTGGCCCGAAGGCAGGGGCGGTGGATGATCATCGCGAGAAAGCTTGTGCACAGCCGGATTACTCGAGCTACGCGAGCGTTGATGCTGTTGTGCGGATGAGCTATACGGATGGTACGTCTGCTCCTCGCCGCTCTCATACGCATGGCGCAATTTTGTGGAGCTGAATTGGCTCTTCAGTGACCGCGTTTGTTGGCCGTAGTTGGCTTCTGACACGCCTCGTTGCAGTGGCGCCGTCTTTGGGATTGGTGGGAGTGGGCCATTGGGAGCCGGTGGCAATACTGAGCCGTGACTCCGGAATTGGGACAAGACCGTACCGTTCTGGTCCTCAGTGCGTGCGCGGACGCGGTCGTAGCCGGGTACCGCGTCGCGCTCAGGTGGCATGCTTGCCGTCGCGCCTGCTCGTCGGCCGCCAGGGGCGGTGCCATTAGGCGTGCCTCGTCCACTAGCGGGATAAGCACTCGCCATCGCGATGCGCACGCGCTCATCCATCGGTTGTTGGCTGAAGTACTCCGAATCGGGGCCATCAGGGAATGCACCGCTCGGCGTTCCGTAGCGACTCGACAAGGCAGATTGTGAGAAGGCCGAGTAGGGAGGTGGTCGGTGAGCCTCGGCGAAGGAGAATTTTTTCTCATGCGAATAGGCAGGCAGGTCGGTCGTTGAGGGAGAGCTGCTGACGCTGACACTGGATTTGGAGCCAATGGAAGACACCGATTTCTCCACCGCGCGGCGGCTTGCGTTCTCTTTGATCAGCCGGTTGATGCTCGTCTCCCATTGCTTCATAAGCTCTTCCCCGCGACAGCGAAGTGTAAAGAACTCGAGCTCATCGTCGCCGCGCCACCATACTTGAAGCGAGTGTTGGTCTATGGGAGCATGAAGGGATGAGTAATGAACCAGATCCAAGACTGAACCACACGTACAAGGATCCTTGCGGTTTGGAGTCGCAGAGGTGACGTTGTTCAAAAAGATTCGCCCTTTGAGGAGGAGCGGGGTCATCTTCCGCCTGCCGGCCGCACCCATATTCACCAGCGGGCTACCCGAGACCGATCCTGGTCCCTTTTTGAGTAGCGAACTGGTCTTGCTGCTCTTTCGCGAGCTGCCAGATCCGACGACGGCCTCCTTGCAGCACAAGATGATCTTCTCAAACAAGAAAACGTGGTACTCCCGATCAACTTCCGCCTTATTCACGACGAATATATCGTCGAGAAGAAGACGGCCAAAGTTGGACAGGTGGTGACCTTTCCAATCCTCGACCCGCAATTCAAGGGCCTTGACAATAAGCTCGTTTTCGGCCCGTCGCTGCGCCTCATTGACACGGTCGGTGATGCGTTTCGCCGCTGCAACGCCCTCGAGAAGCTCGTCGTAATACGGGTACTCCTTGACAGAAGTCCTTTTCACAAGGGACTAAATAGTTGCGAAGGAGGCAAAGTTAGGAGGGAAATGTAAAGCCCGGAATTGAATATCCAGGGAATGCACGCACCTCGAGCAAAAGAGGGTACTTGCAAATCCGCTGCACCGGCTTGATGAGAAACGCCGGTAGCTCGGACTTGGGGTGAATTACGTGAGATAAGACCTGGAACGTCGGAAACAAGTCAGTTTGTGTACCGCTGTTTGGCTGGATGGGGCATGTTGGTTGCCAAGGGTGGGACGCGTACCATGAGATTCTGCTCCTCCACTTGAAGGAGCTCCGACGCGCTAGTGTAGTTTGCACAATAAGGCTCGTAGACGACAAAACCTTGCTCCTGTGAAGACAAAGGGAGCCGAAGAACGATATGCGATGCGGATCATTAATATGGTTAGACAAAGGGCGGTCGACCCCGAAAGGAAATTGACTGACCATCGAGGTAAATGCGTGACCCCACCGCTGCTGAGGCCAAGGTTGTTCCACCACACCCTCGAGAGCGATGAGAAAATGTCGTTGGAAGTCGAGTAGTTGATTTAGTTGCGGGAAAAGGTGGTGGATCGTATCTTGATCCATGATGCCGTCTTTTCCCAATGCGCTAGCGTACGCCTACAAACGGAGAATGTTGGAGTCAATCTCCGGAGAATCGAAATAAGCGGTGTACGGAAAAGCGCGAACCTGCATCACTTCGAGGTCCTGAACGTATTTGCGCTCGGTTATAATAAGCTCTTTCAGCACTTGCTGCCGGTCAGCTTCCTGCGCATTAGCCGGAGGGGGGAAAGTGAGAGGCGGGTAGCCCGACGTATCGCACGGCCGATTCTCTTGTGGTGATTCGGGGTTGCCGCTGGTGGTGGGTGATAAAGGGACATCTTCGTCCATAAATACGTGCGGAGGAAGGCGTTGAATTAGTTGGGATACGGTATTGACGACCTGATTTGGGACGAATAGAAAAGTAAGCCCCGTAATCTTGCCGCAAAAATGGGGTGGGACAGCGAGAGGGGCGCACCTTGACGAAGCCATTAGTATTCCGCTCCGAGTCCAAGAGTTCGCTGACGTTGAACTGCTCCCACTCGTCCCATTGGCCAGCTTTTCGGAGGGTGTTGATACCCATAAGAAAGTGGATGATGGCCTTCTTCTTGGCCTTTACATCGTCTGGATTTAGGTCGGCGGGGTCCGTGTTGATGTCGATTCGAGCAGAGGCGGGGAGGGGAAGGAGATTGAAGAGAAAGCAGAGCGGAATGCCGAGGGCGAGACAGTCCCATAGTTGGTGTACGGGATCCGTCGACTGTCGTGTGGCACTGGCGGTGCCACTTGTGAGAGCGGGGGAAAGATACGGAGCAAAATCGTGAATGCGGAGGAGGTTTGCGCGGAGCTGAGCGCACTGCTGGTAGAGGGGAACGGTGGACGAGCCGGCCTTGTTGAGGAGCGTGTTTGTGACGAGATTCACGTCGATTTGCAGCATGGCGCCGCCGGGACCGGCGATGGACTTTTTGCGGGCGGCGATGGAGGTCATGGGCGCGGCGGGGGGCGGGGAGGGGGGAGGAGGGGGAGGAGGGCGCGCGGCAGTCGTGGTCGATGGTCGAGGGGAAAGGGCGAGCGTATGTACGGAATATTGTTGGGCGTGGCCAGGGCTACGCGTGATGGAAACTGCACCCGGAATCGGATGCAGCCTGTTTGGCCCATGAAACACAAACAAAAGCGGCTGGCTTCTCGTCTCTATTTCGTGCCGACCCGGCCGGATGCGCACCGCCAACGCGACCACAGCGGAGCCAAACACGCACTCGCCCGCCTTTGCCCCCGCCGCCTCCAATATTTTATCCCACGGTCACGACGCGCAACGCTCGCATTAACCGCCAACTATAATATTTATTGCAGCAATTATCCACTTTATCGCTATCCGCGCGTCTCGATAGCCGTTCCTAGCGGTATTCATGCTTCGATGTCAGGCGAGTGTCCAATTACCGGTCACAGCACACGCGCGCCCCGCCGACATCGAACTTCGAGGGGTACGAGCTGTCCTCGCGAGCAACACATGGACTCTAGACGTGCTAGTGCCCAAAAGGCACACCGAGCCTTCTGTCGATCAGATTCAATCACGCTGGCCTTAAAAGTTGTGGCGGTCTCCTCAAACTCAACACTTCGCGATCCGCCACAACCGACACACACATGTAGACAGAGAACGTTCTACAGCGTTTTCCAGGCATCCCGCGGAACGCACCGCGCTGTCGGGCGGGTCGTCCTAGCGCATCTTGATCTGAGAAGCCACCTTGATTCACAAGTTATTGCCACGCCGTCGACCCGGCTATTCAATCGAGTGACCAACGTGAAGGTAGGAATACGAAGCAGAGACTCAGCTGCCCTAGCAACTGCCCATACATTTTTCGAGGTTAATTACCGCACGACCCTTACACTGCGTCGTGGACCGTCGCCTATGACGTGCGCGGTTTCAGCGGACGAGGAACGACACCTTGAACGCCCACGCCCACTCTACTCGATCCAGCACCTCTTCGGCCACCCGCACTACCAACTTTCCGTCTTTTATCCACCACTCCAGTCGTTTGCCCTCTTCCCCGCCTCCAAGCAGCGAAATCTCATCTCCCGGCAGCACAGGCACGGCGCGCTCGATCACCAACAAGCCGTTCTCAGGGCGAACCAAAGAGATCATGCAAAACGACTCCGCCGTCGTCGTGAAACGCACATCCCCAGATTCAGCACCAAGGAATGAGTAATCCTGGTAGCAAACACGATCACCAGTTAATGACGCTCCCGTCTCGCAACAAAAGGAAACCCCTACATACCGTGCCATATATACATTCACCTGAGTATGCCAACCATTTTCCCACCTCTAGCAACCTATCAATCATGGGTTTGATTATTTCCCCCTCGGCCGTCGGACCCACGTTCAACAAGCTGAAACGCAGGCCCTGGTCGATTAAAACACTCTCACGACAACAAGGAAAGCACCTACTAGTTTCCGTTTTTGGACACAATGTCCACCAGCGTCGAAACGATCGTCTGCACGCTGCGGTAATCCTCAGCTTTAGTTCGACGATTATAACCGTAGGTATAAGGATCGATCCCCTCGCTTGTCTCCCATTTGACTCGCTGAATTGAAGAAAAGCGAGCATATTCTGGAGTATCGAACTGGGGCAATGCGCCACATCCTAGGCAATTTCAAGAAAGCATGTGGTAGGGTAGTGTGAGCCACAGGATACGCAAAAAAGCACAGAAACGGAATGGACAGACGGTTATTCATGACCACTTGTCGTCCTTGCGCCTCAGCAAAGGGGTACCATTCCTTTGCAAATTTAACCGTTAAATTCGGTCCTCCGATGTCACACCACTAGAAGATTCCAGCATGTCAAGCTCGCGTGACTCGGATGTTTTTCATTATGAACCTGCTTACCATGATTTCTGATTCGTAATCCATCGCGAGCGATCGCATGTGCGCGAGCTGTATGTCCTCCAAGTAATCCTTCCCCTCGAGTCGTCCCGTATACGGCTCCACCTTGGATTCATCGTAGGGATTGCGCGCAAGATGCCCAGGCCAGTTTCCAAACCCATACGGACCGGCATCCGGATTGAACCTGGTGAACCCCAAGTCCAATATCGTTAGCATCACGTCTATTCTGTCGTCCACAAACAATATCTTGGGAATCCCTTTACGATACATACCATTCAGGCATGGAGTAATAGGTTCCGCGATGAAGTGACGGCTGTTCAGCCCTCGCAGCGTTGAATAACTCCCTGAGGAAGTCTCGCTTGGGCCCAAGATGATAGCTGCTTCTGTGCGTTGAGTTTCCTGTGTCGAATAGGGCGTATCCGTCGTGGTGTTTCTATGCCCAAATCCAATAAGACGCGCACAAGATGCCATTTAGTTGCTTGTGGGATAGGTATATAGTTGCGGGGCGCACGCGTACCGTTACGAAAACAAAATATCGAGCTCCAGCATCGGCGAAGAGCTCCACCCATTGAGATGCATTGAATTTGCGTGCTGTGAAATCAGGGATGAAATCGTCGTATACAAAGTCCTGCAATATTTGACCCTCGTGAGTTGTCAAGAACGTGCAGAGGTAGGGTTCGGGTTTGAATGAGGTGAGATTAAGGATTAAGACCAACCTCCCCATATGTGTCGCGATGGTACCGCCAATACTCTCCTAATAAAGATTTCAAAAAAAAAAGATGGTACCGCCAAGTCTCTGATTTCCCGTCGTTGTGCAGCCACCATCTGAGGAAAGGTTCATATCGATGACGCTGTGAATTCTAGTCTACCAGCTGAAGGCTGTCCAGGAGGTCTACTCACTGATACCAGGCAGCGTAATACCCGACAGGTGCCTGTACAGTGCCAAGAGTATGAGATTAATGAAGCATCTCTGATGAACGAAGAACGCGCCAATCTCCTGACGCTTATCTTACCCACGCGGGGACACTGTAAATCCCCCAGTGTATACTGCAGGCACAAGCGGGTCAACCGATTATCCGGCCAACGGGTTCTGAAGCATTGCTGTAATCTTCTCACAATATCCCAAATTTAGCATCATCCCACCATTCAGGCGTGTCCCGCTTGGCAGTATACGGGTCTGGCGCGTGCGCGAGATGCTCATCTCCATCGCTACCCCCCGCGCGGGGTGCACGAAGTATGACGCGGCCGTCGCTATCGACGACCGATACGATACCCCCCGCTGCACCGCTTTGCCCTTGAGCTTGAGCTTGAGCCTGAGCTTGAGTTTGGGTTTGGGTCCAAGCTCCTGGACCTGGAGGCACAACCCAAACTTTCACCCGCACTTCATCGGCAGGCATAATCCGGTGAATCGCTCCAGGGCGTACAGTCCGCCAGTCCGGTGACTCATACGACACAAGCAATGTCGACTTTACCCAGTAGTTTGAATCAGATGAGAGGGTGGAGGGCAAAGAGTTGGCCAGGGTTATCTCGATTGCGTAGGCCTTTTGGTTGTCAATCTTGCGCCATTTAGTCGTCAGTGCGGCACGACGGAGCACAACAGTAGGCTCAGCCCTGCCCGTGTCCCCGACAGCGCAGGGACTGAGCGATGCGGTGAATATGTGGACTCGATTCGGCCACGAGAACTCCGGCAGGGTGATGGAGACCAGCGGGGATGAGGATCGCACAGAGGTCGACCAGTGATAGATCTGAGTGAGGTTGTGGTTGTACCCAGAAGATGTGATATGATACGGCCTAGGAGAGCGCGCCAAAGATTACACGCTACCCAAAGCGTCCAAAGCGCGTAGAACGTACGCTTTGATGGCCCCCTCGTTCAGCCAGTGGAGTGTCCACCTTGGGGCATAATTAAAAAAATATCAGCAATACGAAAAACCAACCTCAACTCCGAGGCATCCTGTACCAGTTCTTTGCCGAGACTTTGATGCTGCCAGTTTAGTCTCTGCCATGGAAAAGCCACAGGCGGTACAATATACTTGCCTTCAATCGCATCTTCGCTTCCATCCTCGAAACCGAATCTGAACCGTGCACCACTTTCTCCTAAGTCGTCGCGAACAGTCAGCCGAGGAGCTCACAGATAATCACGCGATAGCACTGTCTGATATGCACCATCATTCCAATCTCCCGCGTAAAGGATGTGGAACTCTCTTGCGAAGCCAGTACCTCTGACATCCAGCACCTGTGAGTCTGCAATTACATTATCCTCTCCACCTTCCCAATCGGTTGGGAGATCGAACTATCATTGCGCGGTCTTTAGTCAAGTGTTGTTTGAAATCGCAGTGTAGCACCCACCTGGATGCCATCGTAGTGGAAAGCTCCCGTGGGCAGATACTCTGATGGAAATCGCCCCTGGGTGAATGGATCAAACGAAGCACCAGGACCAGCTGCGATATTATTGTACAAGTGAGAGATATCAAGCGGGATTGAAGTAATCTGCGTAGAGCTGGAACTCGTGGTTGGTGGAGAGTGCCATTGCGTCGGCAGCAACGAAAGTATCCACTGTGCCGCTTTCATGCCAAGATGCAGTGATGGAGGAGAGCAAGTTATGGAAGCGTGTAAAAGCAAAAGTAAAACATAAGCGGCGAATGGGGTTCGAACCCATGACCTTGGGATCTGCAATCCCCTGCACAACCACCGTGCTCCCACCGCTGAACAATGGACGCGCACGTTGCGTGCCATGTCTCTCGCCGCCCCCCAGCCGTAAATATAGATACATGTCAAGAGCACGCAGGAAGACGCAAGTGGTGGTGAACTTCGAATTTCGTGGCATGAGATGGCGCGATCACCGATCACACCTCCGCACGCTGCGCTAGCGCTTCCGATCACTTCGCATGATGTATGATCCTTCTCCCCCCGTCGAAGCTACCAGAAAACCAGAGAGAACCACCATCAAAATCGGGCCCGTACTGAGTACTGTGCAACTGCGCCCGCTCTCGCTCATCAATGCAATGCAATACAACGCATCACCACGAGCGCGACGCGCGACCTCCAAAGTCTAAAGCTGGGTATCATAAACAATCCATCCGCACGGAAAAGTCACAACACGTAGTAGATATTGGCACAGGGGGCGAGGGGGGTGGGAAAAAAGATCAGGTCATGACGGGTCAAAGTGTACTACAAGTCATCAGAAAGAAAGAAAGAAAGGAACCACTGGTCGTCGAACGAGGATGAGACACGCGCTCAGCGCTGGGGAGAGAGAAGAAGGTGGGGAGGAAGAAGCAAAGGTGGGGAGTGGTATACGTTAAAGATGCAGAGACAGGAAAGTGGATGCGGGTGAAGAAACAGCCGAGGACGTGCAAAATGTGAATCGTGAAAAGCCTATTCCATTGGAAGGTGGACGAAGATGAGGGAATAAAACCCAGAGGAAGGGGGGAAAAGAAAAGAAAAAAAGTGAAAGAGAGATTAGATGCCAAAGGGGAAGGAAGAGTCCAAAGTGCGAGAGAGAGAACGAAGTTCGACGAGCGAGCAAAGGATCCTGCCAGCCCTCTCATCGAGGATGTTTCTTTTCCGCGCCAGCAGCTTCCAGCACGGCCTTCATCCACTCGTCTTCCACGCGTGATTGTGACATCCGAGATTCAAATAGCCCCACTCGCGGAGGGGGCGATGATGCCGTGGACGACACGCTTCCAACCGAGCGCTGGTGCGGCGATTCCGCTCTGTGGGCTGGCCTGTTCGGCACAGGAATCGGCGGTGACGGACGGAGAAGGTCCGCGATAGGGAGGTGATTTCTTTCGTTCATGTGAGGAGTGGCTGCCGTTGTCCCGCCCGAGCTTGGCAGAGGGGTGAGCGGGGAGGGATTGGGCGCGTGTGCAGCTAGTGTTGACGCAACGGTGTTCATGGGCAAGAAACACCGCTGGGCATCGTGCGGAGCGGGCGAGGATGTCGTCGATCCATTGGGCGACGATTGTTTCGAGAACAGCAAGCCGATAGATGGCCTTCTCGGTGGGCGCGGGGGGCGGGCAGGGGTTGTTGGGGCTGGGTTGGGAGAGGTTATCGCAAGCAGTGAGCGAATAGACCGGGTACTGGTCGGCGGGTGAGACTGCGTACCTGCCGCAGGCGGTGTCTGTGGGTGAGGTGTCGGGCCGCCAGAGGTCGGTGGCTGGGAGACTAACTGGGGCGGTAGTGGCGGTACTGGTGGCGGCGGATCTCTGCTGGCCAGATGCGCGTTCGGCGCCGAAGGCAGTGGGATCGTCGCACTCCTCCGTCGTAATGTTTTTTCCGGCTCCGGAGGAGGCGCAGAGCTCGGAACGACGGGGGCCCGAGATTGATAAGGAGGCGGCAGCGGCGAGCCGCCACCACTCTCCTCAGGCTGCTCAAAGATCACCTCCTGCTCCTCCACCAACGCCTTCAACAACGCCGAGTTCAATTTCAGACTCGGCGAAAACACGACGAGGAGGTTTGATAGCGGCATCCGCGTTGTCTGATGCGCGTCCGATGTGCATCTCAATAGCCTGCATATCTCATGTAGCAGGTCAAAGTTTGGCCTGGGCAGTCGCTGGATGAGCGACTTGAGGTCGGCGATCAGCGCTGGCGTCTGGGCTCTCAGATTCATGCCGTCGGCTTGGCCCCCAAAACCTGCGAGTCCCGTCGGTGCCGTGACTGTATCTCCCGGTGCCGCCGATTCGTCCGCACTCATGGCCTTGTCAAACAAGTGCAGCAGCGGACGGGTGAGGATGGGCTCGGGTACTTGGAGACGGGTTAAAGAGCACGTCAACGTTCTGCCAAGAGCAAAAGCGGCAACGACCTCCACTCACGTTCTCGGAGGTACAGCTTAAACACGGACGACACCGCATGCGGATCAATATCTACCGGCGTGCACAGTCGGAGATCATAATCAGCACCTAAGTCCAAGAGCATTCGTTTAGCACAACCACATAGTTGGCGGGGCAAAAGCAAAAGCGCGCTAACCCGAGTCGAATTCCGCCTTTAGCTTAGCCCCATGCGTAGTCCGTCCCGTTATCCTTAAACGCGGAGCGAAATTCAAGAATATAAGTATCCCAAGGGCATTAAAAGACACCGGGGGGGTCAGCTCACCGGAAGATCCCTTCCTCATCCACACCCCACTTCTCCAGATGCTGGATGCACCTGACCACCAACGCCGGACAGTTCACGCCCCTCTTCCGCCCATGTTCGTCGAGCCAGTCGGACGTATCCACCTTTGTCTCCCACACCGCGTCCTCCAAATTTGCCCCAAACACCACGCCCGACTTCCGTAACGCGACCCGCGTCGGCGACGGCAGCGCGACCATCGAGCCCGACATGAGTTCTGGCATCGAATCCGACGCAAACGACGTCGTGCTCCCGCCGCCGTGCCGCCCCATAAGTCCCGATGTCGGCGGACACGACGAGCTCCCGGCGCCAGTATTGGGGTTCCTAACCCGCGTCGATCCCGATCCGTTCAACAGACGCTCCATACCCGCCCACCCCCTCTTGCCAAGTTCCAGCGCCATAGCGCCACCCGTGGCAGCGGCGCTCACAGCATTCGCGCGTGCCGTCGATCTCGTAATACTACTCGTATTCAGCGACACCGACTCTAAAGTAAACTTTGCATTGTTGGCGTTGTTTGAGTTTATACGCTGCCGCGATGGGTGCGATGGTGGTGGAGTATGGATGAACGTGGACAGCTTCTTGACTCTCGTCTCCCGTATCGTCTCGGCGTCACTTCTGAACCCCGAGTCAACGTCGGTCGTCATCCACGCCACCTTCTCAATGCTGACTTTTGGATGACGGGGCGGGGGAGGATCACGCATGGGGATGGGTTCTGGGGTGCTGCCTGAGCTAGGAGGTCCAGTAAGCTTGGGCGGCGAGAGCAGATCAGACACGAGCACAGGCGGGGATACATATCGGGGTGCAGAGGGGGTGGTGTTATTACGATGCCGATTTGGGGGCGGTGGGGGTGTGCCTCTTGCAGACGGCCGAGGGTTGGATGGGAGCGAGGGTGCGATCGACATCGGGCGTGACCGCGGATTAGCTGCGGGGGTGGCTATTATTTGCATCTGGGTGTGTGCGGTGCCATGCATTCTATCGGCAGGTGGGGCGGCGTTGGCAGAGGTCGAAGCAGTGGTGGGTGTGTCGGGAGGTGGAAACTTGAAGTGCCCTCTCGTCCCCGCCCGGTCAGCAATTTTCATCTCGTCCATTTTGAACTCTATTTCGGGGACGGATACACCTGAGTTCGGGAATATCGTGGACGCACGGTTCCCACGGCCACCAAGCTTGGCAACGATGGAGCTGGGAAGAACGCGGGGGACACGGAGCGGGTTGAGTTTGGACGCGGGTGAGCTCAGGACGGGCGCTTGCGAGGGGGGCGAGTCGGCGCGTGGAGACTGGGGGAGGAGTGGAGGGGAGATGGGAGCAGTACTGCTACTACCAGTGGGAGCTATGCGCAGTCGGAGTTTCGGGGAGTGATCTTTTGTTTGGAAGCTGGAGGGCGACTGGGAGCGGAGGGAGGAGCTTCTGGGAGGCGTGGAGCTGGTAGCCGTTTGCGGCGAGGATGACCTTTCGGCGTGTGGAGAAGTTGGGGACGGGGTCGCGTTGCGCGAAGCGGAGAGGACGGAGGCAATATCGGTCAGATTGCCGTCAGATCTCGAGGTCGCCCGCTTCCTCGACCAGACGCGTTTGAAGCGCGAGTTGGACCAGTCGATGCGGGTGTGCTCCTGGGTCAGAGAGAAGTCGAGGGGGGCGGAAGGAGCGGGGGGCTGTCGAAGAACCGACTCGATAGTCACGTCGGGCATAGAGAGATTAGCCCAGGTGAGACAGGGTGGAGACCGGGAGGGGAGAACGGCGAAAAGAGCAGTCAGGGATGGCAAGCGGTCACGGCTTCTGCAGAGACACAGGAAGGCAGCGTTGGCCGGAGGACGAGGGAAGACCGAAATGAAGTCGCGGATGAGAACCGAGCAGATTACGGAGAGCCAGGGGGAGCCCAGTTGAGCACGCAGCGACAGAGGAGACAGCGACCGAGGCGGGAGCGCACCTTTCGTCCAAATTTACAGTGCACAAAACGAGACGGTGGCGCGCAGGCCTCGTGGAACGGCGGAGGGTAGGCAAGGACAGGCGGAACGTGTTGGCGAGGTGCGCGCAGCGGCTTCAGGACGCGGATTTTCGGACGGTGAGCACGCCGGGCGCAGCGACGACGGGGACAGCGACACTCACACTCGGTGTGACGAAGAGAAAAAGAGGAGAAAAAGAGAAAAAACGGGGGGAGGAGGCAGGCAGCGGCGAGGAGAGCAACTGGCAATTTCCTTGACTCGCGGTCTGTGATGCCATATACCCACAAGCGGCTACAAGCGAACATGCCACATCACACGCCCGGCATCTCGTCACGTCGGTCACGTGGTCTGCCCCACCCCACGCCCTCCCGGCGCGTCGCTCGCCTCCGTGGGCCGTGACCAGCCACGCGCCCGGCGCTGAGGCCCACCGCTCCTGCATATCTTTGTCGCAGGAATTGTCTGCCATGGCCGTGCGAATGTACAATGGCCTCAGGGGAGCGGGGCCATTTGAACCCCCTACCATCGATATCGACACGGTCCTTGATCACATCACAAAAGGGAATGCACGAGGCAGCAGAGTAATTTATGGGGGGGGTGATAATAATAACAATGTACACGAACAGCGAACGCGTCCGTTCGCCTGGCAGAAACAGAGAAACACAG